AAGAAGAAAGATAATCATACCAGGCAAGACTATCAATGGTGACAAAACAAGAAGATAAGGGAAGAAAATGAAGCTCTCTGGCTTGAACAAGAAGAAGCGAGAAATCTGAGGACACGAGAGCTCACTAGGTATCAAGAGATACAAGAGAAAATAAAGGATGTTTCGACAATAGGAAAGGATGAAGACATATATGTTAAATATGATGCCATAGCAAAAGTTCACCGAGAATCTGGAAAAAGCTATGTAGAAGGAATGAACTCCATAGAGCTTGTAACTTGGTGGAACCATGGCATTGTATCAGGACGAAACATTCTAGAAGCCTACAATAACTACATGAGCTAATTTTGGAGAAAAATATGAAGATCTAGTCCGGGAAAGACCACTCCGAGATGTCAGAGTTTCAATCAACAATGAAATAGACTTTGACAATATGCTCAAGAAAAAGAAGGAGCGAGACGACAAAGAAAGAATGGAGGCACAACAGGTGAAACAGAATCTTTTAATCATGTAATAATCTAGTTTAAATTCCAGTACTCCTTATTTGTAATCTGCATTTGATTAATGAAAGTTTGCTTTTACATGTTCTGTGAGTACTTTCTGTTTTTGCTTTAAGCTAGCTTTATAGCTTCTGTAGATCTTCATGTAAACTCTTCAATAGGGCAGTTTTGTAATAAAATTTTCCTTTAAAGGATATCCTTCAGCCTTATAGTAAGAGTATAGGTTTTGGCATCATCAAAAATGGGAAAATTGTTAGGAACAAGTGTATTTAGATTTTGATGATACCAAACTGTCATAGATTGTAGACCCCTATTTTTCGTTTGTTAGATAAGTCTCGTATGACAAAAGCATGAAATGTTAAACCATGCACGAGACTATTATAATAGGTCTACATGAAGATTCGAAGATGATTGAAAGATGCTTCCAGACGAATGAAGGATTAAGCAAGTCTCGGATAGACTTCCTCTACAAAAGGAACCTTCGTCTAACAAGGAAGGACGAAAGATCAGGACAATCTTTCGTTCCTCATTCCTAAGTGAACAAGTCAAGGACAGACTTGTAAAAAGACAACACTCATTAAGTGAAGCAGTGAGAATGTTGTCTATTACTCAGATGGGAAAATCATTCGGACAAAGAGTGTCCTAGGAAAGATTTTCACTAAAGACAATGAGCATTAAAAGACTTATACCATCTTGTCAGAGATCAAGGACAAAAGCCACAATGCTTTTGGCTCCAACGGCTATACAGTACAAGTGCATTAAATGCTCAATGCTCACTAGGTATTACACACTGGTTTTTAGGTTTGAAATTTTCATCTCCCTCCAACGGATGGATTTTTTCACCTACAAATACCTCTCTTCACCATTGAAGAAGGTGATGGTTAACTCACTCTTGCGATCTTAAGAAAAACTCTTCAAACGGTTTAATTTTCTAAAGTTTTTCATAACCAGTGTCAGTTGTGAAGTTTTTCAAAGACACATTCATCCTCATACTTCACAACTTGAAACAGTCTTGTTATTTCTCAAGTGACGATCAATCCAGATGTCAAGACAAGCTTCAACCTGTTGGAGAAACATCAGATTATCTTTCCAACATCTCAACTTAGGAAGAAGTTGATAGAGACGGAGTAAACTCTAGGAGTTGAAAAACCTTTCAAGTGGCTGTCCGGCTTAGTGATCAAGAAAGCCAGCTTGAAGTAGTTTGTACTAGGAGTGATAGTGCAAACCCTTTCACGAGTTGTGAAAGAAGAGTGGAGTAGGCTTCGTTAACAGCCGAACCACTATAAAAATCTCTCTCCCCTTACCCCTTTACTTTTAGCTATTACTTTCGTGCATTGCATATCATATCGACCAAATGCTAAGTTTTTATTTCAACGAAAGTGTGCAAAGAACACTTAAATCAAGATATTATTTCCATTGTGCATAACTTCGAAAGGAGTCTCTTTAAAAAAGTCGATTAAAGTCTATTCACCCCCCCCCCTCTAGACTCTCGTTAGACCCTACCGGGACCAACACAGCATACCTGAGACAGAAAGAAAATAACGAAAATTTAATGATAACTAGTTTTTTACGCGCATTGCGCGATTGAGATATTGCCCAATGTTTTTCTTAAATAAGTATTTTAAAGTATATCAAGGTAAAATTATATTAGAATTGTTCATGCATAGATAATTGAATGTTGAATTTAAGTATTTAAATTGTTAATTCTAAGTTTACAAATGCAAGATAATATAGTCAAGATTGATTATAATTGTCAATAAAATAGTTGTATGGGTATGGTTGAAACCAAATACGGGACATAAGGGAGAGCAAATAAAAATTAAAGCATAAAATATTAAATATATAATTATATACTAAAATTGTTTAAGGAGATTCCAGCAGTAAGATTTGTAGTTAGAGTTCTATTAAGACTTTAATATTAGACTTAGATTAATGTTGTAGTTATAATTCTATATTAGACTTTAATATTAGAATTAGACTAATGGTGAATTAACGGTACTTAATGAAAAAGTTAACGGATCGGATAATCATATAATTAAGGATAAATTAGGAAATCTCAAGGCAAAATTAAAATTTGAACTATTTATTTGATTTAATAATTTGACAGTCATTTTTCTACCCAATGTTTATAATTAAATAAATATTTGAAAGTATATAAATGCAAGATTATATATGAGAAGTTCAACATAAGTAATTTAATGTCTAATTTGTTTATTTAAATATGTAATTCATATATATGAATTCAATGTAATATGAGAGATTCATTATAATTGTTACTAAACCTTTTTTTAAATAGTGACCAAGTATTTTTTTTGCAAAAGGGTTCTTATATATTTAATGAATGCACATATATATAAGATCAATGAATGAATCAACGGCACCAGTCCTTTACGTGTTTTGCTCCATGTTCATTTAGTTCAACCATTATTGTTGAATAAATTATTATGGATAAAGAAATTCCTAATTTAAGGAATTTAGATGTAGTAAAAATTTAAAATTTTTAATTATAATGTAACCCAAAGATATTGGACGATTGGTAAACATGATGTAACCCAAAGATCAAAATGCTAAAGAAAGTGTTTTGGTTATTCAACAGTTTGAAGCAACAATTTGTTCCAACCCACTGGAAATACAAATATTGCAATTTACAATATTTTCATAACGTTTTTGAAAATGATTTCCCCATATCTATATTTTTTAAAAAATTATTATTAAAACAATTATTATTATTATTATTATTTATTTATTTATTTATTATTATTATTATTATTATTATTATTATTATTATTATTATTATTATTATTATTATTATTATTATTATTATTATTATTATTATTATTATTATTATATGTATACCCTTAGGTCATTTTAAATGTTAATTTAAACAACTAATTTTTTCAAATATCTTTTTACCAACCATTGATATAATTCGCTGGTCAAATCCGCTAACGCTAACCGTTAACTGCTGATTGTCAAACAAGGACATTGCGAGGTAGTTTCTCACTTCAATTTGTTGTGTGATTTGAATACTCTCTTTGTCAACAAATCACTCAAGTAGTTAATATAATTGGCTTTATTAATTTAAATTTTTTAAGTTTTTTCAAGGTATTAATAAAATACTTGGTAAATAAATATATAGCATTATTTTGTATTATAACATTGATATTTAATTAAAAAATAATGCACAAAAATGATAATAGACAATGTAGTGAATATAATCAATTGATGAATTTGAATGTAAAAATTTTTACATTGGAGAAAAATAAAGACAATATAACTAATGAAATTATTTTTCTTAATTAATTTATTGATAATGAATAATTTTTTTTAATAAAGACATTGAAGAGACAATAATGTAGTAGCGAATATAATCAATTGATGAATTTGAATTTTGAATGTAAAGAATTTTTATATTGGAGAAAAATAAAGACAATATAACTAATGAAATTATTTCTCTTATTTAATTTATTGATAATAATGAATAATTTTTTTGAATAAAGGCATTGTAGACACATAATTCTAAATTAAAGAAATGCATATGTATTATTTTTTTTTGTAGCTACTAAATTATTATTTAATTTAATAAGAGCAAAATAGAATACTAATTATGCCAACTTTGGTTGGGATGTGGTTCGAACCTAAGACCTTTATTATTGAAATCGATGAGTAAGTTAACGGTGAATTAACAGAAATTAACGAAAAATATAATATTTAACGAAAAAGTTAACCGATAATCATATTCATTAAGAATAAATTAGGAAATCTCAAGAAAAAATTAAAATATAATCAATCTGAGTCATTCATTTGATTAAAAAATTTGACCATCATTTTTTCTACCCATTATAGGCCTAATTCTCTTAGGCTCTTATTAGTATATATATATATATATATATATATATATATATATATATATATAGTAGATAGTAGATATTGCAGATAATTATACTTAAACTCTATCTTCTCTTGTCTTTGTCTCGTCTTGTCTTATCATAAAGTTTGTACGTCCTAGAACGTTTATATAAGTGTTTGGATATTACGCTACTAGGTACCAATGTCATTCTCGTGGATATTATGTAGCATTGAACAGTATTCCAAGTTGTGCATTTTGGGACCATTCGTCATTAATATAATGAAGAAAATATTACTTATTTAAGACGTGACTTGTTGATATATACACAGATCAGAATACTAATTTCAATAAAAATCAGTCAATGAAGAAAAGTCTCCTTAATTGCTTCTTCTCCTTCTCCCAAGGAGAAGAAGTAATTAAGTCTCCTTGAATCACCAATCTAAGGGTCCCGACAAATTAGCATTGAGAGGATATAAATCATGGTTATTACTCAACTGAACACAAAGGTTAGATTTTTGCTTATTGTGCATAAGGAGTCCCTCACTTTGAGAGGTTACTCTCACACTGCCGCGGCTGGTGAGACTTGATCCCTGATCATTCTTTCCAAACTCTACCTACTATTTGAGTTGCCCATGCGTGCTAAGTCTCCTTAATTACTTGTTCTTAGTCTGATCTTGGTCGTCTTAGGTGACTTGGTGTTTTGTTTGAATTGTATTCCCATGAGAGGGCAGGCCGGCCATTACAATATAGTAGCTGCAAAGTGCAAACCATGTGACAGATCAAACACAAACCCCCCAATAGTATAGTAGAATCGAACAACATGAGCTCCTTCCTTGTACTATTACTACTACTTGTGTTGTGGGCAGTACTAGGTTGTGTTGCTCCCATGGCCACATCAGAAAGTAATTACCCCATAGCCAAACCCAACTGCGATGATCATTGTGGGAGCGTAACCATCCCATTTCCCTTTGGTTTGACCCAAGGTTGTTATCTAAACTCAGCCTTCTTGATCAATTGCAACACTACCACTGATGGATCTCGTAAGCCATTTCTAAGAGGCAGTGATATAGAGGTGAAAACAATATCAGTTGGAGGGCAGTTGAGCGTTATGAACAGCGTGGCTGAAAGTTGTGACGAAGAAGTCCCGTACAGCTGGGCTTGGATCAGGTTTCCAAAATTCTACGTTAACCAGACTGCCAATAAGTTTGTCGCCGTGGGCTGCAACACTATTGCCACTGTGGCTGGCTACGTCAACGATGGACGCTCTTACCAAACAGGTAGGTGTAAGAATAATATATATAAACTGCGTGGGTTTTGTGCTTAAGGTGGGTTGATTTTGTGATTAATGTAAGTAGTTGTTGAAACTTAGTGCTTGGTTTTCTTTCTTTTAAGTGCTTTGTTTTCCTTCTTAAGTGCGTGATTTGTATGTTAAGGTGCATGAAACTTAAGGTGAGCCATTTTAAAACTTTAGATGCGTGGTTTTTGTTCTTAAAGTGCTTTATTTGTGTGCTTAAGTTGCGTGATTTGTGTTATTAAGGTGTTTTGTTTGTGTGTTAAGGTGTGTGATTTGTGTACTTAAGATGCCCTATTTGAGTGCTTAAGGTGCGTCGCATAACTGCAAAAAAAAGCTATATCTTCAACTGAACCTTTCATTATGTTATATATTATATATTAGGGCCTTAATTAATTAAGTGGTGCAGGTTGTATAGCGTCCTGTAGCCGCTTAGAAGATGTAGTGAACCGGAGTTGCTCCGGAATCGGGTGTTGCCAGACCACCGACATTCCTATCTTGGCTAGGAACGTGAATCTTACATTGAAAGCCATGACGCCAGATCAATATACAGACAAAGTTCTTAACTGCAGCTACGCGTTCGTGGTGAAAAAGGATGAGTTCAACTTTTCGTCGGATATGCTTACGACCAAATGGAAAATCGACGAACTGCCGATGGTAATTGACTGGGTCATTTTCAACGAGACGTGCAGTAACTCTAGCGGCACATGCAAAGGTAATACCACTTGTGAAAAATATGAAGGTCCTGAAGGTGGATACCGATGTGCTTGTAAGAAGGGTTACCACGGTCATCCATATCTTGATCCAGGTTGCCTAGGTACGTACACTCTAAACTTTATATGCACAATTACTTCTTCTTTTTTTTTTCTTTTTTTTTTTTGGGAGGGGAGGGGGAGGGTTGGGTTTCCTTGTATATATTTACTTACCTTTTCGAAACATGGAAAATAGTGTACAGAAAATAATTTTGTTAGCTTATTTTTTGAAAAATATTTTAATTTTCTGACGTCTGGCTGAAGATTAAAAAAATATATCATTTCTGTTGGGTTGAAAGTTAAGAAATTATAATTTTTCTTTGGGGTGAGATAGTGGTGTTGGTGATAAAAATAATTTGAAAACTACCTTGAATAGAGATGAGGGAGAAGAGAGAGAAGGAAAATAAAAATTATTAGAAAAATGTCTTCCAGACTAAACATATAAGAAGATGTACATTTTTTGTCAAACTGAACCTTTTTCCGTTGACCAAGTTTTTTTTTTTTAAACTTTATTTTCTTGATACTCAAACATGGGAAAATCCTAAAAAATTACTCCTAAAAGTCATTTTCCAGTTTCCAAACAAACCCTTACAACCCACTTGGTTCGCTAGAAAATATTTGAAGGGGAATGAAATCTAAATTCCAGGAAAATGGATTCCATTATTTGGTTGGTGGAAAAGAAATTATTAGAAAAAATGTTTTTTAATATAAAATGTTTTTCATCCAACCAAATAAAAGAAAATCTAATTTTTCTTAAATTCAAGAAAAATATTTTCCTTGGAAAAAAATCCAACCAAACACCTCCTTAATGTAATTTCTTGTTTATTTGCTCTGCAGATATTGATGAATGTTCAAATGGAGAAAACACCTGCTCCGAAAACGCCACTTGCTTCAATACACTAGGCAATTATTCGTGCTCTTGCAACGAAGGTTACCGTGAAGATGACAAAGGTGGCTGCCAATTAATTATTGAAGACGAATGCAAAGAAAATGGAAAAGGATGTCATTCGTCAAACAGAGTGAACATGATTGCTTTGGGTAATCATCTTTTCCCCTTTAACAACACTTCGCCTAATTAGCATTTACACTACTAGTTTAGCAAATCAAGTTGGAACTGTTATTGCAGGTGGGGCTTTAGGTACTATAATGTTGCTAGTCATTTTCTTTTCTCTGTACTTGGCATATCGACAAAGGAAATCAGTACAGATGAGAGAGAAATTCTTTAGGGACAATGGAGGAATGATTCTGCAACAAAGGATTGTTCAAGGTAGTGCATCTTCTGGCACAACAAGAATTTTCACGGCCCAGGAGCTTAAAAAAGCTACCAATAACTATGACCAAACTAGAATTATTGGTCAAGGAGGTTTTGGCATTGTCTATAGAGGACACCTTCTCGATGGCAGAATAGTAGCAGTTAAAAAGGCCAAGATGATGGACCCAACTCAAGTTGAGCAGTTCATCAATGAGGTAATTGTGCTCTCACAAATCAATCACAGAAACATAGTTAAACTCTTTGGTTGCTGTTTAGAGACAGAAATTCCATTATTGGTTTATGAGTTCATAAGCAATGGGACGTTGTCTGAGCATCTACACAACAATGACAAGGCATCCAAAATACCTTGGTCAACCCGTTTAAGAATAGCAACAGAAACAGCTGAGGTCCTCTCTTATTTGCACTCTGCAGCTTCTCCCCCAATCATCCATAGAGATGTTAAATCTGTAAATATTCTCCTTGATGATGACTACACCGCCAGGGTATCAGATTTTGGTGCATCGAGATTAGTCCCTCAAGATCAAACTCAATTGACAACAATGGTGCAAGGAACATTTGGTTATCTAGATCCGGAGTACTTGCAAACCAACCATTTAACAGAAAAGAGTGATGTCTATAGTTTTGGAGTTGTCCTCGTAGAGTTGCTAACGAGTAAAAGGGCTCTATCTTTTGAAGGTCCAGAGAAAGAGAGACATCTATCTCAGTATTTCCTTTCATTGTTGAAAGAGAATCAACCGTTCAAAATTCTTGATGCCAACATTGTATCTGAGGAAAACAATGATGAGTTACAAGAGGTTTCCTTACTTGCCAAAAGGTGTTTGAATGTGAAGGGGGAGGATAGGCCAACAATGAAGGAAGTTGCTGTGGAACTAAGTGGATTGAGGAGAGCATCAAAACATCCATGGACCAATAATTCAGAGACTTCGATTGAATCTGAGGCTCTACTTACTGCGCAACCAATCCCCTTTGGATATGATGCTACTTTCAGTATAACAACAACTGAGTATGACAGCTTAAAACATAATATGGAGTTTCCAGCCGCTACTGGACGATAATTGCATCCAATTCATTTCAGCAAATTAGTTTTATGCTCAATCTGGGAATAATATATATGATGATTTGTTTCTATTAATCATGTGATAAAAATTAAAATAATTAATGTATTTCAAATTTAATATTATGTTGGATCTTCTTTAATTGAATTTTGTATTATATTAGCTTTTGAACTTCAATTTTGATTGTATTTTATTTAATTTTTTACTTATATTATGAGTGCATTAATATTATTACCATTTGTTGGAACTGCGGCTTGAAGGACCGAGTTCAACATCCTACCATCGAACCGTGGTTAAACGGTTAATGTTTACCTACTTATCAACAATTGATTTTAATAAGAATATGACGACCATATAACCAATGAACTCCATGGTTAAGCTGACTTATAGAAGGTCACTCTGGAAAGTAAGCATAGTTTAGCTTTGAGATCTTATACCATTTAATAATTTTAATCACTTATTTTATTATACACCAACCATTTAATAATTTTAATCACTTATTTTCTTATACACCAACAATTAATTATAACTAATTATAATATTTTAAAATTAACAAAGACGATATACATATACTTTCTTCATCTCATTTTATATGTCGCCAATTAACAATGCCCCATTCAAATTAATCTTTTGATTTAATTTGAACCTTAAGATGTCGTGAAGTAAGGGTCACTCATTCACACAATAACTCAATAATTTGTGGTACTTGGAGCTATGGAGACTTAAACAAGTAAAGCATAAGACACGTTGAACCCGTTGAACACCAATAGTTATGTCATGGTGGACTAGATTCAAAATATACAATTTACATAATTACATACTGAATTTTCACAATTTGAATTGTGAACATTTAGTATGTAAATTGTGAACATTCAGTATGTAAATTGTATATTTTTGGATTCGGGTCTACCTTGCAAGGTGGATCTGAGTTCACAGAATAATTTGCTGTTGACCATGGTCCACACAATAATGATTGCGTATTAGACAAATTATTGTGTGGACCATAACAAAAAGTACATTTTTAATATACTAAATGTACATTATTTTTGTACTCAATGTACATTATACAATATAATGTACACACAGAACAAAAATAATATACATCCCCTGAATACAATATACATTATTTTTGTACTGAATGTACATTATTTTACAGTAGACAAAATATGGTCCACACAACTTGTGTGCACCATGGTCCACACAATAATGATTGGTCATATTATATGTCGTGAGAAGAAAGAATGGCATGTTAAATGTTAATTATTTCGCCATAATTTCGTTGAAAATGTAGAAAATTGGGGTATAAAGTTGTAGAACAGAGGTGTGTTAAAACTGATGTTGTAACAACCCAGACACTAGACCTGAGACAGAAAGAAAATAACAAAAATATAATGATAATATTGCAGATAATTATACTTAAACTCTATCTTCTCTTGTCTTGTCTCGTCTTGTCTTATCATAAAGTTTGTCATAGACCCTTTATATAGGTGTTTGGATGAGTTAATACCCAAAATGGTCCTCCGACTATTAGTTAATACTCGATTTAGTCCCAAAGTATTAAACAAACTCAATTTAGTCCTCTTACTATTAAAACGATACCCAATGTGGTCTTCCGTTACAAATCTCTTCCAACCACCGTTAAAGTGAGGGGCAAAAACGTCATCCGATTTTGTGTTTGCTGACGGTGGGACTGCGGCTTCGGTTCTCCGCCGTGAGCCTTGCTGTTGGTAAGACACCGCCATGGGCATTGCGGTCACCAGCTACTGCTAACGGTGGGGCTACGGTTAGGAGAACGACGGATGCGGGTTGGGTTCCGGCAGAGGTGCTCCATCATCGAAGAAAGTATCAACCAAACCAATGGTGCGAGAGACAGAAGGTTCACTACTGCCACTAAGTTCAGCATTTGCAGCGGGGCAAGCATTTGTGATTTACACTTCAGGTGACACCGCAAGAAGATAAGTGCTAATTCTTAGTATTTTTATGTGCATAATTGATATCAAACTCATATGATTTCACGTTAATTGGAAGCTAAGTACGTGCATATTTAGTCAAACATAGTCTTGGATGAGAAGAAAGGTCAAAATATCCCTAGATTACACGACCTCTTGATGGAAATACTAACGGTGGGACTAAAGTCGAACACATTCAATAATAGTGGTTATAAAGTGGCAAAAAAAATTAAGGTGGACTAAAATTGAACACGCCCCTATAACAGTAGGACCAAAAATGGAATTCACTCTAATAATAATAATAATAATAATAATAATAATAATAATAATAATAATAATAATAATAATAATAATAATAATAATAATAATAATAATAATAATAATAATAATAATAATAATAATAATAATAATAATAATAATAATAATAATAATAATAATAATAATAATAATAATAATAATAATAATAATAATAATATAATAATAATAATAATAATAATAATAATAATAATAATAATAATAATAATAATAATAATAATAATAATAATAATAATAATAAATAATAATAATAATAATAATAATAATAATAATAATAATAATAATAATAATAATAATAATAATAATAATAATAATAATAATAAATAATAATAATAATAATAATAATAATAATAATAAAATAATAATAATAATAATAATAATAATAATAATAATAATAATAATAATAATAATAATAATAATAATAATAATAATAATAATAATAATAATAATAATAATAATAATAATAATAATAATAATAATAATAATAATAAATAATAATAATAATAATAATAATAATAATAATAATAATAATAAAATAATAATAATAATAATAATAATAATAATAATAATAATATAATAATAATAATAATAATAATAATAATAATAATAATAATAATAATAATAATAATAATAATAATAATAATAATAATAATAATAATAATAATAATAATAATAATAATAATAATAATAATAATAATAATAATAATAATAATAATAATAATAATAATAATAATAATAATAATAATAATAATAATAATAATAATAATAATAATAATAATAATAATAATAATAATAATAATAATAATAATAATAATAATAATAATAATAATAATAATAATAATAATAATAATAATAATAATATAATAATAATAATAATAATAAAATAATAATAATAAATAATAATAATAATAATAATAATAATAATAATAATAATAATAATAATAATAATAATAATAATAATAATAATAATAATAATAATAATAATAAATAATAATAATAATAATAATAATAATAATAATAATAATAATAATAATAATAATAATAATAATAATAATAATAATAATAATAATAATAATAATAATAATAATAATAATAATAATAATAATAATAATAATAATAATAATAATAATAATAATAATAATAATAATAATAATAATAATAATAATAATAATAATAATAAATAATAATAAATAATAATAATAATAATAAATAATAATAATAATAATAATAATAATAATAATAATAATAATAATAATAATAATAATAATAATAATAATAATATTAATAATAATAATAATAATAATAATAATAATAATAATAATAATAATAATAATAATAATAATAATAATAATAATAATAATAATAATAATTGCGATGAAAGTTGCGGATGAAGAAGAAATTAACAGAAAAGAGTTTTAATTGGGAAGGGTAAAAGATGTCATTTCTTTCAAATAATAAGGACAATGATAGAAAAAAAAAAAGTTAGGAAGCTACTAGCTTATTTTGAAACGCTTCCAAAATAAGCTCTTACTTAAACTATGAGCTTATTTTGGGAA